TTAAAATATGAGTCTATCTATTACATTCGTACGAGGTATCGATTATTTAAGTGACTATTTTTTAGACCGGTTAGAAATTTGTTGAGAATTCATTGTTTATAAATGTTTTATATGCAAAAAAATATAAGAATGTAAAAGTGATGCTTGAGCGATCTACATCAATGGTAAATTTTTGAAGAAAAAAAGCACTGGTTTTTTCATCGAAATAGTAACTCATTTGATTCATTTATTCAATTTCCGACTAATTGAAAACTTGCCTCCAATCACTTGATTGAGGTGCTTGAGAACACCCTAAATGATATTTCAAGAAAACGAAATATCATAATTATGCCTTGTCAGTAAGATGGATTGCAACTTTGATAAAACGGCATTTCAAAAAAATGGGCTAACCCATGACCAATTATACTGCAACTAATCTTGAAATTTAATTAGTTAGTAAAAAATGTCACATGATCGTTCGTTATAGAGAAATATGTACACATAGTCATGAGCTGATAAAAAAGTGTCTGGATGCGGTATAAAGAATTTTTTACTTTAGTTCGGTATAACCAGCTTAAATAATTATTAAAAATCCAGTCTGTCAAGTCTTGTCCGTTATAACCCGATTTCGGTATAAACAGGTTCGATATATACAAAGTCGACTGTATAAACTTTATTTTATTGCTAAAATAATTCTAAACTGCACCTTTATATGGTGGCAATCATAAGTAATAGAGCATGTTTTAAATTTTATAATAAAACATAGTAACTATTGAAATTTTCACTCTATAATAAAATTTTTGTTAAAAAAGTTTATTATAGAGTGAAAATTTCAATAGTTACAATGTTTTATTATAAAATTTAAGACATCTCCATTACATATGATTGCCACTGTATTTGACTATATTTCTAAGCATTATCATTAAATATGTTTTGATGATTTGCTTTTTTTAATTACAGTAATAATAATTTTTATTTAATTATTAGATCACTATCTGCACAAAGTGGAGAAATTAAATCCACATAAGCTATAAACATGGAGAATGATGCTTTGCCAACTAGAGAACAGTCTTCGAAAGTACTTAATAAAAAAAAAAGCAAAGGTATGATGTAATTCAAGTGTAGTAAAAATGTTTATAAGTAAATCTAATTCCAATTTTTTTTATATAAAAAAAAATAATTAATGCACCTGAAGTATGAAGATTTCAAAATTATTTAATAGCATGCATGTTAATAGCTTTGTAAATTCATAATGTTAGATAAACTATTATGATATAGTATGTTGTTTATATATATTTAATATATTTTATGTATTAAATAAACAAATTTAGTATTTGTGCTTGCAATAGTAATATTAGATTATGAATTGAACATAAACTACTCAAATTCACAATCAAATTTGCATAATTCTAGTATAATTTTTTAATTAATCCGTTCATTATCGTTATATGCATAATTTTGTATAAAAATAAATAGTTATTGTTTGGTTATTGTTTGGAATTTATTTAAATAATTGTTCGGAAAAAGGGGCCCATTTTGAACATTTTTTTGAACAAAAATCTAAACGAAAACTTGAACAAAACCTGTGTATATAATTACAAAAACTTGAACAAAACCTGAATATACAATTAAATAATTTTTGATTTTTTTTAGAACATTTATTGAACAACCCTTTTTTATAGGGCTCCTATATTTCGTAGTTTCGCTTTTTGATGTGCCAGAATGATCTAGCGACAAATTATTAGTGTAGCTAGAATATATGATTAAAATATTGTATATGTATAAATAGCTTTACGATACAATGCTGTTTAACGTCTTTAATTTTAAAATTGAATATGCTCTAAGTGGTTATGTGCAATTATTAAATTTTTGTTTGAATGTCTGCTCATCATCTTTGGTCACAACAATAGATCTTGACAGGATATAAAATAAACGTTTATAATAAGTTTATTTCACGAATCATTGCTAATATTAAAAGTCTTGATACGATTAAAGAATTTGTCTACTGGTTTAGAAGTGTAACCCAAGTTTGGATTCCAAAGAATCAAGATTCTATATCGTTAGTCAAAAAAACGTGGCTTTCCTAAGAGTGACGGAAATTTTCAATGCATTCATATCTTTAAAAGCGCTTTAGAATCCGACTTATAGAAGATCTGTTAACTTCTAAATGCTTAGCAATTTTTCGAACTGATAGTCTTCTAAATTTTTTTACTAACGAAGATACTTTGAAAGTATCATATTCCTATATTATTATTGTATCTATGTCAAAAATTGTCCCCCCGTGATTTTTGACTGATCAAATTTCAAGATCCGTGTAACGTAAACAATCGAAAAGAACCCTTTTTTTTTTTTTACAAAAAAAACCAGAAATAATTCAAAAATTTAATTAAGAACCCACCTTCTGTGGCCTAATTAAAAATGCACCTCATGAAATTTTACCAATAGAAACTCTATCGTCCTAATCCTAACCCAAACTATTTTTGGCATTTAATCCGGTAATCTAGAATAAAACCTGTTCAATACCGTAAAATTTCTTGTTTTTTTTGTGTAGTTATCATTATGCTCAATTTTGTCGATTCGTGTTTACGCCTATCGCTATCGATATACCAAATTTAGATGTATAATAATATCTAGATTATTATCATATCCAGATTGATTTAGTTGGCTGTAGAATCCTAAAAAAGGAAATCTCAATAATGAAAATGATTATTTTTGATTGCTAATATTAATAATAATAGATGCAGTATAAAAAAATCTGGATACTGTACATCTGGTATTACAAGGCACATATATCTATTCTGGCACATCTGCGAATTGGTCTTAGAGTTATTACCCGGGCGGGTCATAAAGATTTTAAAGTTAGCACTTATAAAATGATGTAGCGATTCTTATTTAGAATTACTATTTGTGTCAATAGTTATGTAGGTAACTCGCGAGAGTTTAGAGTTTATAGAATTTACAATATTATGTTGTGCATGTATATTAATATATAACAAATGCTTGAACCGGAACTTTTCAGATTTTGCACCGAAAAATTTCTCAGCCTTGCTCGTAAATCGTTTTCATCCATTTTCCATGTCAGGAGTATATCATCATTAAATTTTATTCATGCTATCCGCGACCCGTCAAGAAGCTGACCCGGTCAACCCGATCCGGGTAGCTTTAATTGGTCTTATTGAACCTATTTAAATGAATAAAAACTATATATTTAATTACACGTCCTATCATTAAGTTATATACGTAAATGCTGTGCAACAGACAACCAGTCCTGATTCATTATATCGGAAAGCTTGTCCTATGCCGAAATATCGATTATAAATAGATTATAATAAACATTTCATCTTAGATTGTGCAAATTTAATGAAATGAGCCAGTTGAGTAATAATTAATAATAAATTAATTTCAAATAAAATTATTTAACGATTCATTTCTTTTTAGAATACCCACAACTAGAACTAGGCCAAAAGTTTCGGAAGGATCTCAAATCAACCTTAGATATCCCGTAATCCTCTTAGTAGGAAAAACAGGCAAGCATTACAAAAAATTTTTTTGATTTTCATTTACTTAGTTTATTAAAGATATGGCATTATTAAGGTGCTGGAAAAAGTACTCTTGGTAACCTGCTTCTCGGTCAGCCACATGATGACGGACCTTTTATCGTTTCAGAAAGGATGGTGAGTGGTTATATTCATATTTTATGAATAAAACTCTTTCCGAAGCTAAAAATAAACCATATAGGACTCCTGCACGCAAATATGTGGTGAGTCAGAAGTGACAATTGATGGGCAGAAATTTACTATTGTCGACACACCCGGAATTTTTGACACAAATAGACCTAACGAGGAAATCTATGAAGAAATTGCCAAAGTGATTCAAAAATGTGCTTATGGTATCAAAGCAATCCTTTTTGTTTTCGGTACGTGATAACTTATCCATATTATAGGATGAGAGTTTCAATGCATAGTATGATTATACATATACAGTAATGGCAATAATGTTTGTATTATTTTTACTTATTTTAAAGAAGCAAAACGGTTTACCAAAGAACAAGGAAATGTTCTAAATGGCATAAGAGCATTTCTTGGAGAAGGCGCATTGAATTATATAATTGCAGTTTTTTCTCATGCAACAAAAAAACAAAATGAAGACAAGGATGAAATGCGAAAAGCTTGGAATCCAGCTATTTCCACCTTCATTGGGAGCATCGGAAACCGATGGGGGATATCACCAAATTCAGATTATTTTCCACCAGAACATGAAAAACACCAATTAAGATTGAGAGAGATTAAAGATTTCATTATCAGTACACCAGGATTCTATACTACGGATATGTTAGAATCAGCTAGACGAGATCAAGAGAGAATTCAACGTGAAAAGCAAGAGGAAGAAAGACGAATAAGGACAGAGTATGAAGAAAGGTTAAGAAGAGAAGGAAAAGAGAAAGCTGATAAAGCATTTCAAGAAGAAATGATTAGAATGAGAAACGAATTTGAACAAAAGCAAAAAAATTCTTTAGCTACGATAACAAATCAAATTGCAGAATTGATAAGATTAGTCGGACAGATAGGGGTAAGACAAAATTTACATTTTACTGTCTTATAATTAGTATTTTCTCATAGTTTGATGTATACCTGATTCCATTTCATTTGTATAATTAAATTTCTATAGACAATCTGTTTTCTTCTTTAGGTTGCCTGCAGTAATAAGTTTAATAATGTTGGAAACTGCTACTTTTTAAATTGGAAATTTTTTTTACGACAATAGGTATAATAGTTGTAATAAATATAAGTGCCTGTAAACATAAACTAGCTTGTCTAAGAATTGTCTATAAAATGAATTTGTCTATAAAATGGGGTCTTTGCCTTGAAAATGACCTTACGGTATCATGTATCGTAAGGCCATTTTCAAGGCAAAGACCCCAAATGTTTGTCTGAGAATTGTCTATAAAATGAATTTGTCTATAATGTGATTGTCTTTCAACTAAGGTATCTGTGAAATCTGTGAAATAATATTTTTAAAATGATACGTACGTTTTTACGAAAAATTTTGTCAAAATTTTTATGTTATTTCAGTAATTTTGTAAATTCTTATCTTTTCGATCTAGGTTCGAGACCTAAAATCCAGACTTGAGCCCCAAGGTTTGGGTTTGAAACGCTTTAAAGCTAAAAGTATATATATGAATTTAAATGGATTTGGAATTCTTAAGTTAAATTATAGAATTTATCATATGTAAACCTATATCCCAATTATATTTTTAACTAAGAAATTCCGAACCCACTTAAATCCCGTTTACACTTATAACAATATCCGGATATTGGGCAAAGAATTGAATGAATACCTGGATATTAATTTTCTAAAATATTTTTAGGTTTAATTTTTTTTTTTTTTATAATTTGAGATTTAATTATTCTTTAATAAATGCATAAATGCGTAAATAAATCACCGTGGAATTATAATTTCAGTCAAAATTTATTGATTAACCATTGATCGAGTTAAATCTAAATTTGCATATTATAGTAAGTAGAAGTTGAATTCTTCTATCCTTCAAATACATTTAAAATTCTATTGCAGTTTATTTCGATTTAAAATCGATAAAATTTACATCAGGAAGTTTTAAAATCAATAACAAACTCGTTTAATTTAAAATAAACATCGTACCTTTAAAGATAATCATTAAAATATACAACTAGATATTTAACTAACATGTCGTACATTGTATATTGATACTTTATACATTGCAATGTTTAACGAAGCCCCGTTTTTCAATGCGTTTTTAGATTGGTTAATCATCTAAATTTATTATTTTTTTATAACTTCGTGATATAACTTTGATATACCACAGTAATGAAATGAAACAATGTAATGATAAATGTTTGCAGCTCAAATTTTCTATCAAGTCTAGGTTAAGTTTTGCTGCAATGAGCCGTATTTTATCATTAAACGTTCATTGAATTAATTATCCTGAAAATAACTCACTAGAAATTAAACTATTGGTTTCAAAATAAAAACATAGAATCTTATTTTATTTTTCTGATTCATAATCAATATAATAATTATAATATTGAAAAAAGCACTCATTCACAAAATCTGCAAATGCCATACATTCATATTTAATTTCATGTCCGGATTGTGTAGTACATATAATCTCAACATCCAAATATCATTTAATTAATATTTTTGCATCTAAAACTATAATTGAACCCATTTTTAAATGAAAAAATAGAATGGCATTAAGAATTAAACCCCTTTTTATTATATCTCCTACGTTCCATTTATTTATTGTGGCAGCTTATGCTGAGTTTTGGAATCTATATTTAAATCTATAATACTACCTATAATCTTTTATTAATAACAATAGGCCTAAACCTAGCCTAACTATAAGAAAAAATACCACAAAAAAACAACCTAAAATTTTATAATTTTATAATGCGTAAAACAATTTAAATTCTCAGCAAATGCTGCTACTTTTTTTTTTTTTTTTTTTACAACCCTCTCTAGAGGGACGTCATATGGCGTTCGTTGTTGCTACATTTATATTTTTCTAATTTGAACACGGCATATACTAAAGATTTCATTCAAATAAATCTATAAATAGCTTTTACAGAAAGTATTACGCCTTATTAATACATTTAACCGATTTTTTTTTTTTTTTGGTTTCATTATTCAGCAATATACGGAATGTATTGTTATTAAAAAAAAAAAAAAGAATGAATCAATTTTGGAATATTATAATCTGAGTTACAATTACTGCGCATAGTATGTTACATGACTCGCAAATTTTGGCTTTGAGCCAGCCTACTCATTTTAACGTAATTTTTATTAAAGAATAATTAAAGAACTATGATCGAATACAAAGTTATATACTGAAGTTTTAGAAATGATATATATGTTGAAGTGGATACGGAATCCACTTAAATCCTAAAAAAACTAAGTGGCTCGGAATTTTATGCGATCACATTGTACGTAATACGAAATACACTTAAAATGATCGTATTATTAGTTACGAATGAATATCTTTTCTTAATATAAGACGCAATTCTTTAATAATTTGGTTAATAAATGTCTTGAAGGAAATTTTATTTCACAAAGCGACTAAGATTTATATTATTATCGCAGTACAGTCAGACCTCCCTAAATGCATATTCTCTAAATGCATATTCTCTAAATGCATAGTCTTTCTAAATGCATGCATGGCCTTGTTTGGCCCCAACTCATTATGACACTTATAGATTTTTACCTCCCTAAATGCAATACCTCTCTAAATGCAAGATTTTTTGACCGCCCGACTGTACTTCGTTAACCCAGTAATACAAGCTTAGAGATCGATACTGGATTAAGAACTGAACCAATTCAAACGTTGAAAAATCAATGTAAAAAAATAAATATCTTCTTGAATACTTTATTAACTTTATTAAATACACATTTCCGAATAAATTATAATAAGCTACTTGAGTTTGTATTTCTTTCTTTATTTATGCAAATATAGTGGATGAATATAAAGATTCGATAATTTGTTAAAATTGAATTATTAGTTTAGAAAATTGTAATGCAATGAATGATAATTTTCTTTCATTTAAAGAATGAATTCTATGGTTTAGCATAGTAGATATGATTGTGGTTGAGACTTAATTTGAAGATAGAATCAATTGAGGATACGTATGCTAATGGCAAAAATATCAATATAGATAATATAGATAATATAGATAATATAGATTAATAGTTAGCCAGCTAAACGGCTAAACGGCTAGCTTGAACGGCTTAGAACACTAGATTCGGAATCTATTTAAGTGGATTCTAAACAACTTAAGTGGGAATTGAATATTTAAAAATAAATTTGATTATA